ATGACCTGCCAGTCATGCTGGTGCGACCGCCATTACAGGTATCCTAACCCAATCGTTAGTAACAGTTGCCGTAATACAAATATTACATAGGTGATTATCCAAATTTTCGCCATCGATGGGATTTGAACACCCAACCTACCACTTGAAGGGTTGACAACCTGACCACTTCACTAGGTCACCACACTCCCAGCAAGTAGTTTGTTTAATTAATAATAAAATATTATTTATATAAAATTGTATTATCAAAAACAACTTTGATTAAAAACTTTTTGTAAAATAGCAAATCCTTAATATAATTAAAAAAACAATTAATATAAAAATTTTTCAATATGGTAAATTTATTTAAAATTTATTAATAAACTCTTAATATAGTAAAAAAAATTTATATATTATAATAAAAAAAGTTGTATTTTTTAAAAAATTAATTTTATTAATTTATATATTTAAATTTGATAAATAAAAAACAAAATTAGTTATTTTTTTTGAATTAAATTTGTAAGATAAGAATCTCTTTTTCTTTTGTTTGAAATAATAATATTATTTTGATCTATATTATTTGAAAAATCAATTGAAACTCTTCTAAATTCTGTTAATATTTGATTTTCATTAGTTATTGTAATAAAATTATTCATTGCTAATGAAAATTCTGTATTAATATTATTTTCATTTATATTAATATCTTCAAGTATATTATCTTCATCTAATTCAATAATATTATTACTACTAATTTCTTCTCTATCATTTTCATATTTTTTTTTGTTAGATTTTAAATATGTATTAAAATTATTTGATATTTTTTCAATTGAAGATTTATAATATTGAAAACAATAATTACATGTAAAATTTAAATTATTAAAACATGAAGTATGATATGAATGTCCACATAATAAAATAGTAATATCTGAATTTGTAATATTACAAAATTGTAAATCACATAATTTTTCTTTATTTGGAGGTATATCTGTATGATATGCTGATGGAAGAATTCCTTTTACAAAACATTTTTCAATTGTTGGAATATAAACTTCAATTTTATTTCTTCCATTTTTTTTAACTTTTTTAATATTAAAATCATTTTGGTTTTGATAAAAATTTGTAAAAAATTTTAAAAGAAATATACTAGTATTGGAAACTAAAGAATCTAATTGAGGTTTTGAAAATAAATATTGTTTTGTTTTTAAAAAACTTGAAATAAATTTATTTTCATGTTTTTCATAATCTATAAAAATTCCATATCTATGAAGAGTTTTTGAATTCGTTAATTTTGATGTAGTACTTCTACGTACTAAACTATGAAAATTTTCAACTGGATATTTATCAAGTAAATTTAAATTATTAAAAATATATTTATAATTGGATGTTGATTTTCATTCCATTGTAAAATATCTGATAAAAAAACAAGCATTATTTTATCATAATTTTTTCGATTACATCTTCGCATAAACATCCATAATCGAAATATTGTTTCATAATAATATTCAAAATAATTATTTTTAAATAAATTTGTATAAATATCTAATGTTGAAGGTATAATATCATCTAAAAGATTTAATAATGAATAAAAACCACCATTTTTAGAATTTTTAAAAGCTTCAAGAATTTCAGATCTTATTTTAATCCATCCAGCATGAGCAATATAAAGTAATAAATTTATTTGCCATGGTTTTGGTTTTTCTGCTAAATTTCTTTTTTTATTAAAAATATCTTTATATAATTTATTAAAAAATGGATGAAATTTAATAATACATGTTTCTCTAGTATTTAATGAAACATATAAAGGACCAAGCATTGGTACAAAATGATTAATTTCTTTTGGAATTTCAGAAGATGGATTAAAATATTTATATACAATAAGTTTTCGAACATATAATTGACCAGAAAAATCCATGGGTGTAATTATTATATTATTATTTAAATATTCTTTAATATCTGAAAATTCTATTAAATTATTAATAATTTGTAAATAATTATCTGTATTTTTTAAATCAGATGAAATAAAATCAACAAGTTTTGTATTATAAAAATTTCTCATATGTTGATTTTCAAGAGTACCATCATACATATGAACTGATAAAGATTCTATTAATGATTCAGCTGAAAATGTTAAAATATCTAAAATATTTTTCCACTCTAATTTACGACTATTATAACTAATTAAATTATTACATAATTCATTAGCTAATGCATTATTAAGATGATTAATAGAAATTAATCCTGATTTAAAAAGTGAAATATTATTTGAAGAAACAAATGAAATTTTTAAAATATCAGGCATATTATTAATTAATGTAGTTGTCATATGACATATTCTATTATTAGAAGTCATTGTTGGAAGTCTAGTTTGATGACAATCATGATAATCATCTATATTAATAATAAAAAAATTATTAAAATTATTTTGTAAATATTTTTGCAAATATGTTTTATGATTTTTTTCTAAATCTATCATATTTGAATATAATTTTGAATAACTTGAAATATATCCAAAATATGATAATAAATTAATTGCTCTTTTTGAAAGGCCAGCTTTAAGTAAAAAAACTTCCAATTGAATTTTTTACATTAGTAATTTTGTTATTTTTTAATCCAGCTAAATGATACATTAATAACATTATTCTAATTTTAAGTTTTTCAATAGATTTTGAACTTTGATTAATATTAGATTTAAATATATTAAAAAATATTAAAACAAATGGTTTTAAATTAAAAGAATCAATCATATTCATAAATTCAAATGAATCTGTAGGTGGAAAACATTTTTCTTCATATTGTTTTTTGCATAATAAATTAGATAAATTATTAATATTTTCTTCAAAAAAATTTGAAAATAAATCTATAGATGGATTTTTTAATTCTTGTTCCAAAGAAAAAATTTTATTTTTTAAATTAATTATTTTAATATTATAATCATTTTTACTTTGATTATAATCATCTTTTAATTTAAAAATTTCAGATTTATTATAATTTTTTAAATTTAATATTTCAGTTTCATAATTAGTTTTTAGATTTATAATTTCATTTTCATAATAATTTTTTAAATTTGAAATTTCACTTTTATTATTTTGTAAAATTTCATTATATTTATTTTTTAAATTAAAAATTCCAGGTTCATAATAATTTTTTAATTCTGAAATTTCAATAGAATTTTTATATTGAATTGCAATAATATTATTGTTTAAATTTTCAATTATATGATTTAGATTATTAATTTCAAGAATATATTGATTTTTTTCAAATTCTAATTTTAAAGCATCTTCTTTATATTGAATTAATTCTTGAAATACATGTATATCGATAGAAATTTTACTTGGTTGAGCTAAATATTCTGAATCCATTATTATAAAAAAATAAATAAAATTTAAAAAAAAGTGTTTTATTTTGCTGACAATGTGTTTTATTTTTGCTGACGAAATAAAAGTGAATCAGCTATGCTGACTTTTAAACAAGGAAAAAATTAAAAAAAAAAATAATATAACATATACATATTTAAATATTTTTCTAATGCTTATTAATATATATTTAAAAATAGCATACATATATAAATTAACCAATTATATAAATATCTATATTAAATAATTAACCTTAAAATAATATCAATACATGCACGTATCTAATAATATACAGATAAACATTGGTACAAATATATATATAACTACAATACAGCAATAATACTAAATTTATCTAAATTAATATCTTATCGCATAATTTTAATCCAAAAATTACCAAATATTCTTTATATATACCATATACTTCCGAAATTAGCACCCTCTTGGAGCAATTTTATAGCCAAAATTCCCGTGATCTAATATTTGGATCTATATAATTTTGGTACTATTCGAATCAGCTTGCCAAACCGATTCAAATGGTACCAAAATTACACAGATCCGATTATTAGATCATGAGAATTTTGGCTATAAAATTGCTCCAAGAGGTGCTTAATTTTGGAAGTAATTATAACAGTAAATTTTGATCTTTCAATAGCATCTAGTCATATCCATCGGAAGTTTATAGTGTAATTCCTTATATTGCTCTGGAAGTACTTTATGAAGAATTTTATTCTACAAAATCAGATGTGTATAGCATTGGAATTATTATGTAGAAATGAATAATAAAATTCAATTGTAAATATTTAATAATTTATAAATATTTAAAATAATATGTTCTTTATACTTACGCACTAAATTGCTACAAATAAAATGAAAGTAATTGATTAATATACATGCATTTACACACAAATATATAACAGTGAATACTTATAAATTTCATAGCCTAATACACCTTATACTCGATCCAAATAAATATATAACAAATTTGATTGTAAATAACCATAAATCTAAATAACTTAATTAAATAAATATTCTTTACGGTTATACGCTAAATTATAAATAAAAAAAGTAAGCGATAAATATTCATGAATTTGCATATAACAGTATAATCTCAATGCTTAAATATTTAATACTCACAAATTTTTTGTAATAAATAAAATTATAAATAGAGGTTGTTCATAATTTGAATAGCTTAATATACATTATACATGATCTAAATAAATAATCCATAAGCTTAGATTAATAAATATTTTTTGTAAATATCATAGACTTAAATAACTTAAATACTAAAATAATAAATATTCTTCATGCTTATATACTAAATTATAAAGAATAAAAGAAAGTAAATGATAAATATTCATGAATTTGCACAACTTATCTAAATACTTCAATATTTTAACCCTCAAACACAAATTAACGGCAATAAAATGAAAGTATAAATAGTGAATACTCATAAATTTGAATAGCTTGATACATCTCATACTTGATCTAAATTAACAAATATTCATAGTTTAGATCAATAAATATTCATACTCATGTAGAGTAAATAATGAACTTGAATAACTTACTTTGAATACTTGAATTAATGATGTTTTTTATGTTCACGCACTAAGCTTGTTGTAAGTAAAATGAAATTGAGTTAAACATTCATGAATTGACAAGAGTTTTTTTATATTTTAGACAATAGCTAATCTAGATTACTTGCGTAGCAATAGTTATGAGCTGGTTGATAGATCGTACACAGGTTACTCAAGTTCACCCCGGTAACAAGAGTTAGGATAGATCTCATATAGATAATTCGGGTGATTTTACACAGGTACAGCTTTTATTTCAAGTCTTTGACGTTTGAACGAAAATGAAAAAATTATTATATACTGTACGAATATACGTGCGTACGTATAATATATAATTTATATTATCAGTTATATAATCGGAAATTTCACTCAGTATTTGCGATGCAGGAGGATGCTTTCCTCATGCAAACCCAGGTTACACTTGACGCACTCACGACGCCAGGGCAGCTGTTAAAAAATCGAAAAAGACCTCTGCTGTATTTGCCAATGTTCTACTAATATTTTTATCTTTTTTTTTAATTATCCTTTCTAACTGTCAGTAATTTTATGCATAATGTGCTATTTATTTTTTCCTTCTTTTATCTTTTGAAATATACTTCTATCTTATTTGTATTATTTGGATATTTTATCTGTTTGTTCTAAAATGTTTTTTGACTTTTTTGCTTTCTAGTCTACTAAGCATTTCTAGTTCTATTGCTTTAAACTACTTTGTTTTTTTTCTCTTACTTAATAGATCTTAGTAACTTTTTAGCTGTTGCTATGTAATTAACATTTCTTTATTTGTATCAAGCAGCTAATTTAGATATATTAAGCCTGCTTCATTTATTCTAGTTCTACTTCTTTTTATAATTATATATTTATAAGTTCCTTTATTTTAGTTCTATATCCAAGTATTATTTATAAAATGCCTTCTGTTTTTATATTTATATTAAGCCTTTTTGCTTTTAGTAATGTTAGACAAGCTAAGTTACTTTTTTAACCTTTTATATTTTTTGATATTTCTTCTATTTTCTATATATCTTCTGTTAAATTTGCTTTTTGGCAGCCTTGTATTATTCTTAATTTTGTTAACTGTTCAAGACTGTCTAATCTGTTTATTCTTGCTAATAGGCTACATATTTGTTTCATTAATAATTCTTGTTATAATGTTCTATAGCTTTTAAGATCTTTGTATTCTATTATGCAGTTTTCTAATATTTTTTGCAGATTGCTTTTCTGCTTTACCAAACTTATTATTAGTTAGTGTATTTCACTTATATTTTTTTCTGTCATTTTTGTTAATTATAGTATATAGCTTAATTTTGGTATTATTATTATATTGTTTATATATGCTATTTAACTCATTGTTATTTTTTTGTATTTAAGATCTTTTATTGTTTAACTAATTATTTCTTTTACTTTTTTCTTTATTAGTACTTTACTTATTTTGTTATTTAGCCATATTCTGAGTAAGTAAACTATTTTGTTCTTTGTTTCTTCTATTATTTTGCTTTTTTCAAAAATTATTTTTCTTTTTTCTTTTTTTACTTTTGTATTTATTATTAGCAGCTTTGATTTGAATCTATTTATCTTTATATTATTTATTGTAAAGAATTCTTTTGCCATCTTTAAGATCTTTATTAGCTGTTTTTTATTGTTTGCAATCCATATTGTGTTGTCTGCATATACAATAGCTGCTTGTTAGTACTTTGTAATATTGCTGCATTGCATGTCTTTTTTGACTTACTGCTTTATTGTATAATCTAAGCCTTTATCTTCTTGTACTTTCTCTAATAGTAGGTTATAAAAAAGACACCATATTAATAAAGATATTACTTTATCTTGATTTATATTATCTACTGCTATTATTTTTTTTGTTGAGCCATAAGCTGTAATAATTCTAAGTTGCCTCTTATAAAATAAGTTTAAAATGTATTTTATTGTTCTTTTAGATACTTTAACTTTTCATAATGCCAGTTCTAGACTCTCAAATAGAACTGAGTCAAATGCCTTTTTCATATTTTGCAAAAGTATTTATATTTTTTTATTCTTTTTTTTCACTTCTTCCATTATTATGTTAAAAATATATACTGGCTGTTTTGTTGAGTTGCCTAAAAGGTCTGTATAGTTTGGTTCTTTAAGTATTTCTTTTTTCATAATTACTTTGGCAAGCCTTTTTGTTATTACTTTTGTTACAACTTTTCTAAATATTTCTATTAATATTATTAGTCAAATGTTATTTAAACTATATTTCTATTTAAAATTCTTTAGTATTGAGTAAACTTGTATTATCTTCTATTTGATTGGTATCTTTTCTACTTCTAGGCATAAGTTTGCAAAGCTTTTAAATACTTTTTGTATTTCTTTTCTGCTTGCTTTATTAGAATATAACTTATGCTTGCTAAGCCTAAAGCTGTTCTTATTGTAATTTGCAAATCAGTGAGTCTGTTACTAAACTAATCCAACTCTTGCATAATCTATAATAACTAAGTTAAAATAGGCATATTAGATTTGGCTAGATGATTTATCTATAGGTAAGTACTCTTTTTTTTTTTAAGTCTTTCTTACAATCTATTTTTCTACTAACTCTTTATTTTTTTTTGTCTTTTTTTTGTCTTCCTCAATCTGAAATTACATTACATCAAATTGGAGTTGGAACTTCTCTTTTATTAACAGTCTTGTTATATAACTTGTAGCAAGTGATCAACTTGCAAGTTTAAGAATTTATTTAAATGAATAATAGAGTAACAATAAGATTTAATAATGGTTTATTAGTTTGTATAGGATGGACTTTTTACTTTATTAGAGGTTTGGTATTTATTTGTTATTAGAAAATTTGTTATTAGAAATTTGTTATTAGAATGAAGAATTATTTTTTTTTTAAAGCAAAAATGCTCTTTATTTATAATAAACATTTTGTTTATATTTGCAGTTAATTTCTTTTATAAACACAATATATTTCTTATACTCTATATTTTAACTAAATCTAATAGAACCTGTAGATTAATAGTAAAGTAGTTATACTTCCAGGTTACTAATCACAAGGTAGCCAGTTCAAGTCAAATAAAGGACAAAAACTGAGTTAGGACTATGATTGTTAATTAATTACATCTAATAACATATTATGAAAATAAAAAGATCTTTGATATCCAGATCCTTAAATGGTGACAGACCTGATATAAAAAGACTGCAATGATTAGAAGGCTAAAGATAAGAATAAAACAAAGGCATCCCTGATTAGAAATAATTTTGGTAAAATTCTGAAGTAATAGAAACACAAAATCAATATATAGATAGTACTATAAAAATATATATAAATAAATGTAAAATGTAAAATATAGGCAGAGTTTTAATAAAAGATCCTGTAAACTTAAAAAAATTTTGAACTTATAAACTAGCTGTCAGCTGCAATCCACTAGTGACTATGCAGTAGGAAATAAAAAAAAAAACCAAATC